TTCTACACTCACCATACAAATGCCTCAATGATACAGGAGAAAATCATAATGTGGTATTCCACATTATATTATTGAAAAAATGTAATCTTTTAAATTAAGGCAAATTGCTACATTTTCATTCATAACAAAATGTTAAGATCTTTATATACACGTGAACTCGACACATTAAGTGAAACTAATCCATATTACAGATTTTATTGCGTAAAATTTTTACTTTATCATTTCCTGTATTTTGGGTGCTTTACAGTAATCATGGTAACGGGTGGGGTGGGTGTAAATTTAGGTTAAGTTAGGTTATGTCCAACTTGTTTTTTTCTCATGTGTTATTTCTATTCATTCGTTACGACGAATGCATAAATACAAAAAATATTCAGCATCCACTTATCACCATGTGGACTGTATGTTTTTCACCAACTACTAAGGGGACAATCTTGGCCCCTTTATTATATAAAAACTAGCAATGTTTTATTTTATAGAACAAGGGTGATAAAAAAGTACACAATCGTCCCGGTAGAGCGAAGCCATTGGTGCTACAACTATAATATACAGCTTGCCTCTTCCACGTTAAAAGTTCCATGTACTCTTACTTTAAGTTTTCTCACACAGTCAGGAGTGTCAGTGAGTTCAGTTTCTGTCAAATTACTGTGCTGTTAGGCTATCTATGCCATAATACTGGCAGCACTGAAGTATTAAGCACGTGCTTAAATTTAAAATAAAATAGAATAAAATATTTTTTTATCGAATAAGGGTGATAAACGAGCACACGGTCCACCTGATGGTAAGTGAATACTGTGGCTCATAGACATCTACATTTATTCTCGATTAAGCATCAAAACGCAGATGTGTTGTCACCCCTGAGGACTAAGATGGAAAGTCTCGTTTCCAGTAAAAAGGGTCTCCGGATCTCTATTCTCTGAGAGCGTGGTCATTCCCCGGTCGAGACAATTCATTCGTGCTACATCCATAATATAGCCTCAGCGTGGCTCTACCGCGTATTTGAGATTATTGCTACTGTGTAATCTACTACATATATAAGCTACTATAGAATAATTTTTATTCAAATTGGATTACATGAATACTTATTAAAAGTCGTGGCTAAGCCGTGGTAGCTCAGTTGTTAACGCTCGCTGTAAATATAACAGAACGCGAGTAACCCGGGTTCGATTCCCGCCGGCACCAATGAAATTGTTAATTGCAATTTTAAGTGCTGATTTACCACGTGCTCGGCGGTGAAGGAAAACATCGTGAGGAAACCTGCATGTCTGAGGAATAAGAAAAAAAATATTTCGAAGACATGTGAAGTTCGCCAACACGCATTTGGGCAGCGCGGCGGACACTTCCTTGCCCTAAACCCTCTCAGAAATGTGGGGAGCCCTGAGCCCAGCAGTGGGACGTATATAGGCTGTAACTTTACTTTACTTTACTATTAAAAGTCATTAAACTTTACCTCTAGCTCGGAAATAAAACCTCTGTCCTGGGAAGAATCACCAAGAAACCCAGCGGGACTTTTTTGTAAAGCATAATTTACAATATTGTATTATATACAATTAAGTATGAAAATATATAGAAACAGCATGATAGCGGTTACCTCATTCCTAGGTACTAGCAGTATTATTTATTAATTAGTAAATTTTACTTTATCTTTAATGGTATAGTTACCCTTACTAAATTTTTTCTTAATAAAAATTTTGAACCTTTTGCTAGATAAGTCCTGCATATTTTGATGGACTTTGTTGGTTATATTATCTGTACTCTATGGTGTCGAGTAAGGGAGTTCCTACATTTATCGACGCTGAATTGGCTTTAGGCGGACAAAAAAAACCTTTATACCTACGAAATATGGGTGTTGCTAATGGCATTCTCATCAGCTCGGCTCGGACGATGCGACGCGACGTCGGCTGACGGTTTGCCGATTAGCTGATGGCATCCGTATGAAGCTGAAAGTAGCCGAACGCCCACGTCAACGCATTTATGTTTTCGGCAGCAGCCGGACGTACCCAGAGATGGCCAAACGGCTTTGAAATGTACCGCTCGCATGATTTTATCTTTGATGGCACCCAAAAGACGGCTAAACGGCGTCGGACAACAGTTAAATAACAATGAGTCGAATGCTGAACGAATGTGAACAGCCGTCTCGACGGCCGTTTTGGGGAATCATTTTCCGTATACAAGTGAACAACCGTTGCGATGGTCTTTCGAAGGATTTGATGGTCGATAGCTTGTAGTATGGTGATACGCACTCGACTTCAGCCGATTCCGCGTCCATAAATGAGGGATCTCCCTAACTGGTATAACTAACAACCTTGTGCTTGTTTTTATTAAAGAATAGACATCACTATTTTAATAAAACTTTATTAACATTTATAAAATTTTCATATATATATTGGGAGGCTAAAGTTAATATATTTATTTCTTTAAAATTTTCTCTAAGGGAATGAAAATTATATGTGTAAAAGCAGTTACAGGAAACAGTAGGGGTTGTACGAAAATGCATTTGCGTCACGTAAGCAATTTACAGTGCGTTGCTCGCACCACACGTGCTTGAGCCTCTGAGGATTCTTCCCTCGCTAAATGCATTGTTGCTTATTTTATATTTATATATAATAGATTATACATGACAGTTATATTATACAATACCGATTTAAGGAATAAAAAGAAAACTAAAGAAAACTGAACATATGTTTTAAACATTTTGCGAGTGCTTATCACGTTTTTTGCTTACCCTTTGTCACGGGGGACTGAGGTGTTCAACGACGCAATGTCATAGTTTGGATCTACGCAGAAGAAACTTATATTGTTTATTCAGGACCAAAAATTAATAATTTTAATCTGAAGGACGTAAAATGAAATTGTGACGTCGAACGCCTCAGTCTCCCCGTGACCATAGGCGCTGTAAAGTAATCGAAACGTCGGGAATTTAAAATAAGTAAATATAAGCGATAAAATCCGTAAAAACTAGTTTTATTTAAATGTGAAGAGTTCACGTAAACATTAGAGATCATTCTATTTCTCCTTCCATTTTTTTCTTTATCAGCCCGTAAAAGTCTACCGTTGGGCGTCGTCCTCTCCCGCTGTGAGGAAGATTCCCGTTAATCGTCACGTTCGTAGGCGGAGTGAAGGTCGCAGCACCAGAAGTTACACACTTTTGAGACTTCCCGTTGCCAGGCAGCAGTCAAGGTAGTTTCAAACTGGCCTAAGCACGCAAGGCATAAACAAGAAGCCAAAACTTCTTACGTCTGGCGTAAACAGGAAGTCAAAAATCTTTTTATACCTCAGTCGTCTCATACGACACTCTTGGGATGTAACAAAACCATACTTTATATCTTACGCCACAATTACACAATATAATCAATGTAAAAAATCTATTTTGTCTATTGTGTATCCTTGTTTTGTATATACTTAAAAACAACCTTTAAACGTTTCTTCCGTGAATACCAACCAGGCGTACGTGCATTGCTGTGCACTAGTCTGAAACGTATAGGGAACTAATATGATTAGAGGCTTTTTATAGAATTATAATCGTAAACGATAGAAATCTACATTTATCCTCGTTAAAGAACCAAAATGCAGATGCGTTGTCAACCTTAAAGACAAAGACGGATGCTTCGTTTCCAGTAAAAAGGGTTTCCGCTTCTCTACATTTACCATACGTGCTACAAATATATCTGCAGGGTGGCCTTACCACGTATAGAGACTTCTGTGAGGTTTCCGTTTTATTCCTCAGAGCTGATGTATTTGTAGCCTTTTTGTTTGAAGTTGGTTGCATATGTCCATGGGCTGCGGAAGCCACATAACATTAAATAAACTATTAAATTGTTTGTCATTTTAATTTTATATAAAAAGTTTATCATGGATTACAATGAATGCGTTTTCAAAGTTAAAATTGCTTTAGTTGAGAATCTTATACCATTTGTCTCTGCCAACAAATTGCCGATTCAAACATTTTGATTCATTGCGAAATTTAAATTCAACACAGACAAATCGTTCGAGTAGAACCTCAAATTAGTCAAGAATTTTTTCTTTTGTTTCATAAAATTAATTTATATTTTAAAATAGTAAAAACTATCAGGTGTGTTTAAAAATCAGGTTTAATATTACATAACACCTGGTCGTTAGTCGAATAATTTAGAATATTTCTTGTGTCACTAGATAACATACAATCATAAGAGTATCGGCCTCCCACAAATAACAAAGCACGGTCTTGAACCACATGTATCCATTGGTAGGTTTTTTAATTTTTTTATAAAGCTTTACCTCCACACTAAGATCTTATCCTGTAGCGTGAAGGCAGTTTACATACATGAATTTTCTAAGGATAAACATCCGGACCTCGTGGTGGTGTTGTAAGAATATCCACTACCCCATATCATCCTTGGGGTGGCCGATGTTTAGCAGTGGACTTTCGATAAATGCTGTAAAGGTAAAACATCCAGACCCAGAACAGTGATTTGTTATGCAAATACTTGTTTCGTGTGGGATTCGAACCCGCGGCTCTCAGCGACCTCAACTTAATTCTAAGCCACTGCAACGCGGAGCCGTCAATTCAGGTCATCTCAATTTAGGCCTACTATCTGTTCTTCGAGGTACATGTGCAAACGAAAAATTTATTTTTCTTCATTCCAGGCACATGTGCCATTACCAATGTAGATATTATCGTGAAAATTTGGGAAAAAGGTTTCAAATTTATGAAATAAATTCAACCAAAAGACTAAGTGTCTTGTTAGTAAATTAAAATAAAATATATTTATTTATTAATTTATTTCAATCAACAAAGATCATAGGGTAAAATAACATTCATTAACATCTATTCTTATACTAAAATTATAAATCATTACTAATATTAATTATATCAAATGCGTAAGTATTTATGATAATATCGAAAATACAAAGTAGTGCTATCCCAGCCTGGAGAATAAGAATTGAAGAACGTATCGCAAGGGCTAGGGCCCCATCCACATAATACCATATTTTCACAAGTTAGTTTGTCCCAGCCGGATATAATGCAAACACTGACGGAGCGCATAGACCACCTGAAACAGAGAATCGCTGCTTGGGGAAAGCGGATTCGGCGATATACCGAGAGGTCGACACGGTTCAACCAGAATCGTCTCTTCCAGAGTGATCAGAAGAGGCTCTACAAATCATTGGAGCGACCAATGGTAAGTGGAACGGGCCCAGCACCAAATCAGGCCGACACGGTCGCATTCTGGCGCAGCCTGTGGTCAGAGCCCGTAAACCACAACGAGGGCCCTTGGACGAAAGTTGTGGCGAGTCAGTGTGCGGGTATTACGCCCATGGACCCCGTCATCATAACGCCGGATGACGTAGCTGAGGCGGTCCGTAGAGCCCCGAACTGGAAAAGTCCGGGGCTCGACGGGCTGCATCACTACTGGCTGAAGGGGTTCATGGTGTGTAACGCTGTGCTCGCCCGACAGTTTCAAGAGGCTCTCAACCAGAAGTTGCTCCCAAGCCTCTTCACTACTGGGATCACTCATTTGGTCCCTAAAGACCAGGTTGCCACAGACCCGAGCAAATACAGCCCCATCGCGTGTCTACCGACTATATACAAGACACTAACATCCATTTTGAGCGCGAGAATTGCTCGTCACCTGGACTCAAATCAGGTGATGTCGCGCGCTCAAAATGGATGTCGGGGCGGCGGTCGTGGAACCAAGGAACCACTTCTCATTGACGCGGTCATTGGCAAAGTGGTGAAACGCAACCGTCGGAACTTCTCCGCCGCCTGGATAGATTACAGAAAGGCTTTTGACTCGGTGCCCCATACATGGCTAAAGAGGGTCCTCGAGCTGTACAAGATTGACTGTACAGTTAGAGACTTCCTCGGGCAGTGTATGGGGCAGTGGAGTACGATCCTCTATCATCTGGGCGAGCGGATGACGGCTGCGGAAAGCCGCATAAGGATAAGAAGGGGTATATTCCAGGGCGACTGTCTGAGTCCAATCTGGTTCTGCCTCTCTTTGAACCCTCTCAGTACTTTACTGGAGGGCTCCGGGAGGGGATTTCAGCTTCGGAAAAGAGGTACAAAAGTGCACCTTTTCTATATGGATGACCTCAAATTATTCGCCTCCAGTCGCTCCCTATCTTATGGAATTGCTAAACATCACTTGTGAATTTAGCAATTCTATTGGAATGGAGCTGGTGACGGATAAGTGTGCGGTCCTCCATGTTGAAAGGGGAAGGGTTGCTAACTCTGAGGGCATAGACTTATCTACGCCCGTCAACTTAAGGATCCTTTTCGAGGCTGAAACATACCGATACCTGGGTATGTCACAGAACATCGGTATAGATGAGGCTGGTATGAAACAGTCAGTTTGCGACGTGTTTTATGCACGCTTGACCAAAGTGCTTAACAGCCTTTTGTCCGGTGTGAATAAGACACACGCATATAACGGCTGGGTCATGCCTGTCCTCATGTATACCTTTGGCATACTCAGGTGGAGTCAGACTGAACTTAAAGCCCTGGATAGAAAAGTCCACACTACAATGACGTCCCATAGGATGCATCATCCGAGATCGTCGATAATGAGGCTGTACTTGCCGCGAAAGCATGGTGGGCGTGGCTTCCTGAGCGCGCTCAACATGCATAATCGCGAAGTGTGCAGCCTCCGTCATTACTTCCTGGCGAGATCGGATGATCCATTCTATAATGACGTCATTTCTAGTGATAAAGGACTTACCCCTCTATCCTTAGCCAACGAGCAATTATAGGACCCGGCAGTACAGTGCATTTCGAAAATGATCGCGCCAGGCTCTATTGGGTCCGGGCCATTATCACAGACAGGACTATTCTTGCGAATAAACCTGATATTGTGCTGATGGACCGGGCACAGTCAAGGATATTTTTGGTCGACATTACCATTCCGAATGACGAGAACCTCGTGAAAGCCGAAACAGATAAGCAAACAAAATACCTGGACCTGGCTCACGAGGTGACCGACATGTGGGGTGGACTGCCGACCGAAATTATTCCTGTAGTCGTCTCTGCAAACGGGCTAATCCTCCTCTCGGGTCATCTGAAGCGGCTGGGACTACTTGGCGGACCGCTCCAGGCTGAAATGCAGAAGGTGAACAGCGGTTTCTTTCCCTTTTCCCTTAACCCACGGCCGTTTGGTCTCCCCTGCCGAGGGCTTCCATCTGGTTGGATCTAATTTATTTATGTATTTTTTTATTTATATTATTTTATTGATATTTATGTATATTTATCTTTCCATTTTAATTTATAATTATATATTTATAGAACCCAACCAGATGAGAAAATTATATAGAAAAATAATAATAAAATAACATAAATCGATTTCACCGTTACACATACTTCATATCCGATTTAATTTACTTATATATTAACAAAACCACCAACAAAACGTATCATAATGATATAATACAATACTTTTTGTTAATAATACAAAGAAAACGTCTTAATTATATATGTAAGTAAAATTAGTTAATAAATTAGTTCATATAGCTGGGATGCCTGTCCGAGGCAATGGGTACATGGACATGAACCCAGTGCCTCAAAAAAAGTACACTCGGGTTTCTCACTAATTACGTTAAGAATGCTGTTGGCACTCCCACGAACCCTGTGCATCAGCGACGCAGTTCTTTTGCGAATAAGTGTTGAAAAATTGTCTACGTGGGCTTCAACAAACATACCTGATGCACTACAGTAACGTGGGAGCCCCAGCAACAATCTAAAAGCGTTATTGTATTGTGTACGTAGGGTGTTGAATGCTCGCCGCGTATATCTGATCCATAAGGCACACATATAGAGGGTTTGGCAATAGGCCTTAAATAAAATAACTTTTATCTCGGCTGTACAGCGTGAGAACCGACGGCCCAGCATATTGCAGCGGACAGCAAGCGCTCTCCTGTCTCTTTCAATGTCCTTATCATCTTTTAAATCTTCGGTAACAACATGACCTAGGTACTTAAATTCAGTTACTCGTTTAAGTGCAACACCCCTAAAGTTACAGGTGGTACGAAATTTGGTTTCTTCGTGCCCACCTTAAATACCATGAGCTCACTCTTCGCAACATTATATTTTAGACCGTGGGATTCTGCATAAACCTCATATATGAACAAAAGCCGTCTGAGTGCACTGACTGACGGGCTCAGAAACACCATGTCGTCTGCGTAACTGATGTTGTTCATGCAGAGTCCATCAATAGAGCAGCCGACACGTGCACTCCCGAGTCTATCAATCAGTTCATTTATATATAAATTAAAAAGCGTAGGTGAGGTTAATCTCCCTTGTCTTACACCGCATTCCAATCTGTACTCGTCCGACAGTGCACTAGACCACCTTACCTGATTAATTAGATGATCGTACCAATAGCTAAAAATACTAATGTACGAGACGGGTAGACCAGCCTTTTTTATCCCACAGAATGTCATACCTGACAAGGTCGAAAGCCTTTGAAAGATCCAGAAAGGCCGCCTACACTGGCGTATTCCTTACAGTGTAATACCCCACAGTGTGCTTCAGCGACAGTATTGCACACTCAGTTGATAGATTTGGTCTAAAACCAAATTGTGCATCGTTTAACTTAATATGTACTTTTAACTGTCTCTCAAGCATACTGTCAAGTATCTTAGCCGCAGTTGTCGCTAATGAAATGGGCCGATAGTTGCACATATCTGAAATATCTCCAGTTTTGTTTTTCAAAATCGGAACTACGACCGTTCTCATCAGCTCTTCCGGCAAATACGAGTGTCTCATACATAGGGTGAAAAAGAGCGCCAGTAGTCTAGGTAAGTGCGGACCAGCGAACTGAAAGTGCTCGATGCTAAGGCAATCGTGACCAGGTGACTTTCTTCCAGTCATGCCATTTATCAAAATAGCGATGTCCCTAGCGGTGATGCGATCAGGCACATGAGTTGATCCACCAGTGTGGTGATGAACCTCAGCGTCGACTTTAACATGTGACTGTAAAGAAGACTGAACCCGGAACTGATTCTTAAAAAGAATTCCTATCTTCGCCAGTTCATTTACACCCCCAACGCTCACCGGGGTACCTGCTTTAGGACTCAACTGCTTAGTATGCTTCCAAAACCCACGAAAATCTTTATTCCTATGTTGATACGCTAGTTTATTCATCTTGATCTGGTCTTGATTATTTTGACAAAACTTAAGTTTTCGTTTAAATACTCTTTTAGATTTCATCATATTATAAATATACCCACCACGCGGTTTCCTATGCCAAATCCAATTTAGGAATTTTTGTCGAGCATCCCGGTGAGCATCGCGCACGTGGCAGTTCCACCCTAGTATAGGTCGACCACGCCTTTTGACTATCTCCCGCTCGCGAATAAAGCTGTCTATCGCTAATTTATCATAAATCAAGGTTAATTCTTTAAATAAAATTTAAAACATATCTATTTTATTCCAATAAGGCTCAAAGCTATTATCTCTTAAGAAGTTAATCCTGTTTTTAGATAACTTTTTTTTTGTTTGTAAAAATTAACTATATTTAAGTTATAAAATTTTCTTAAAAAGCATTATAAAAGATTTTGTTATTAAATATAATAAAAATTAATGAGCTATGATCCGAAAATTAATGAGATATGATACTATAAAAACAATAATTAGCTAAGATCTTAGATTGTATATAATATTAATATCACGGGGATATTATCTAATTAATTTTTAACACTGACTTATGGATCTAAGACGTGGTCCTTCAGTGCTGGCTGTATACGCTCAAGGTCGCTCAGCTATGGAGATGGCTATGCTCGGGGTTTTCCTGCGTGATATACTTAGAAATCAGGATATCCCAGGTGGAACCAGAGTGACCGACATGCCCCAACGGATTAGTAAGCTGAAAGGGCAGTGGGCTGGCCATATAGCTCGAAGAACCGATAACCAATGGAGAAAAAAGGTAGTGAAGGGCGACCCACCACTAGATGGATTGACGACCTGGTAAGACATGCAGGAAGTCGATGAATGCAGTTGGCTCAGGACCGTGCTTTGTGGCATTTTTTGGTGGATATTCAGCAGTGGACTTGTGAAGGGCTATAATGATGATGATGATGATGATGCCATCTATCGAAAGCTACGTAATTTTATTGAAATGTCTCACAGTCAGTTCTTATAAAACCTACGGAAAGAAATCGGGTGATAGATTTTCTTAAGCCGTCTTTACGGAGCTAACTCGTATCGTAGCACTCAAAATTGACATTAACAATAACAGTGGAGCGGGGATTGAACAAAGGTTGATCGAATTGAAAGGAATTAATGCGGACGCTCTAGCCTTGATCTACCACGGTTTTCAAAAACAACATAGAAATCCTTAAAAGTATGTCATTAAGCACGTTCGCCGTGGAGCCCGTAACTGAAAAATACACAAAAGAGCTACGCCCCGAGCCAGCCGTGGATAATGACGACGCTCGTAGTCACGCCGAGTACAGGTTCATCTCACAAAATTATGTTAAGGAGGACCGTATAATTATGACGCAGTAATTTCGGTTTTTGTTTTCTTTAGGATGCATTTTACTA